AAAGGTCCCTTTTCAAAAAAACCCCCCCCCCCCCACGGGAAAATCCTTAAAAAAGGCCCTGTATACTTGTCTATGGTTGTTATTAATAAATAAATAAATAATGATGATACTGTAAATTAATATTTTTTAAATCTTCCAGTCTTCTATATTAATTTAGCCCCCCATCCCCGTTCTAATTACCCCAATATTTGTATATTGCATACAATGATATTGACAAAATATAAATCCAAATCATAATTCGCGTGCTTTCACATCTTTCTTGTAGGTCCCTGTAGTGGAAGTAAAAAACACTGAAGACAAACAGAAGAAATCGTCTGTATCAGATACCAGTGCTGTCCTATATAGTTGTAAACTGCACTAAATAATAAATGAAATATATATGTAGAGATATGTTAAAATTTATCGGCTATTTTGTTATTCTGTGAATTCTTAGTTCTTTATGTTTTAAGAGGAGATTTTTCTGTATTGTTACGTTACTGCACGCGCTCAAAACTAGTGAGTATAATATACATGGTTACACTTGCGGTTATATAATTGCTTTCAAAATTTTATTTTTCGTCTTTTCGATGTTTCTCAATCGGCAAACGAACTTGAAAAGTATGTTTAGTGCTTTATCTGTAAAATAATGCTAAAATGAAGAGATTTTAGATGCTACGCCAAAGAGAAAATTATGTCTGAAGCTGTAAATATGGCGTCCATTGATAATCGTACGCGTATTTTAATTGACAAACGTAGCGAACTATTCAAAAATGTAGCGAACTATTCAGTCCTTCGGCCTTCGCTGCAAGGGTTTGGGGCTGTCAATTTCCCGTTTGTAATCTAAAATGACTGAAAATTGCAAATTTCACAAGGCTATTTTTTCCGCATTTTACAACATTTTGCAACGAAACTTTGGAATATTACTAATTTTGTGATGCTCCTTCAAGCTGTGATGAAATTTTTGTCTAGACTTGTTTAGTTCAAAATTTAGTCTATTACGCAAATGGTCAATTAAGTACGGCAGAATTTGGAGCGGCAAAAGTTCGACACAAGTTCGGCAGAGCTTGTCGCATTATGCGACGTTGGAGCGACATTGATTCATACGCCGCTCCACTCATGTGCCAAAACCTGGCCAAACTTAACTCAACTTTAGTCTAAAAATAATCTTATTTATTTTGAATTTTATTTAGGTTTCGCTGGCGAATGCGCCCCGACCTTGTCAATAACATTAGCGAGGTTTAGCAAAGACGACGCGACGTCAAAGACGACGTGAAAATGGCGTAAAAATGGCGTGATATGCCCATCTATGGATGTGCCCACGCCATTTTATGTATTTGGTACGCCGTTTGAATCACTGCGGTTCTTGTGTCGCATCTAATACAATTAAGTTTGGCACATGAGAAGTACGCCGTCTGAAACGGGCCTAAGGCGCTCGAATGCACATGCGACAATTAACATGCAGGTTCTGAATACAATAGTCAGCGACGCCGGAACGATGTTAAGGCAAGGGTGGCAGATTTTCGTGAAAGGGCACTTTGAATTGATATATACTATGAGATGTTTGCAAGAGGGTCTGAATGGGGTTAACTGACTACTGACATTTGCCTGAATTTTTAACTGACAACTGGCAAAATATCCTAACTGACTACTGAGAAATGATGAAAAAAATTATAAGTCAGCATTTTGCAGTAACTGACTACTGACAGCTTGCAATATATCGCACTGACAACTGACAATTGGCTTAAATTTTAGCTGACAACTGACACCCAAAGACCCTCATTAAGACCCTCTTGCAAAACATCGGGAATTGAACTTCGCCTAATCATGTTTTCTATTTATTGGATGATAGGGGTGTGAGGGGGTTTTCCGACAGGCAATTGTGCTATTCTTGAAGCTAGGCCTTTCCCTATTGCGCTGGTAAAATCCTAAAAAAGTGCTGGCAAAAATGGCTAAAAAGTGCTCAAAAAGTGCTCAAAATCTCAAAATAGTGCTCAAAAAGTGCTAAAATTGTGAACAGTTACCTCTAAGATTTTCGTAAATTTTTTAAAATCAGCATTTTTTAAAATCTGTTTCCACGTCCTTCTCCATATATGGAACAAACTTCCGTATATGGAGTTGTTTACGACAAAAAAAAGAGAACTCGAAAAAGTCAGCGTTCTAACTGATTTTTAACTGTAATGTCATATGCAGCTGTACGGCTTTTCTTTTGGAGTTATACCTAAATTATATATAAATAATAGTATAATACCCGTCAATTTTTAAACCTTACTCCGAACTGTATGTTTAGTTAATCGAAGTACGAATCGAATTCTATAATCGCTAACTTTTTGTTGCTCAAAATTCGCTCGAAATGTGAAATATTGCTCAAATGTTGCCCAAAGTGCTAAAAAGTGCTCAACGTTGCTCAACATGCAAAATGGTGCTCCAAACAAAAAAAGTGCTCAAAAAGTGCTCAGCGCAATCGGGAAAGGCCTACTTGAAGCTCGATGACTACATTTCTTGCGTTTTCTGAAGCAAATTCGCAAAAGAATCGCACTAACATTTCTGCCAATTTGCCAAGGCAATCCTTTAAATTGGAAGGGCACCTTTGCCCCCCTTGTCCCTCCTGGTAAAGGGCGACGGGGGCGGCTGCCCCTCCTGCCCCCCCCCCCTGTTCCGGCGTCCCTGACAATAGTGCGATTCTTTTGCGGAAAGTAACTGAAACACGTAAACAAAAGCGCGCATTGCATTGTGGTTGATCATGACCCTTTAATTGACGAATCAGGTAGGCAGAAGAACGACGTATGAACCAACTATACTAACTACGGCAGAATTTGGAGCGGAAAAAGTTCGACACAAGTTCGAATTCGGCAGAGCTTGTTGCGACGTTGGAACGACAACTGCGACATTAGAGAGTTTGAGCAAAGCAAGAGAACGAAGTAGCACGACGATGACGCAGTTGAAATTTTTTGCCTGTCTTGCTTAGGGGTGAAGACAGATTAGAGATTCATGTCTAGCTGTTTATATGAATGCTGACCCAAATTCTTACCCTGGTCAGGACAAAACAGCGAGACATGAATCCATATCCCGTCTTCGTTCGCGACGAATATTTTGGCAAAATTCGTCGTAAACTTGGTAGTGCATAGGCTCAGATTCCAGCCGTTGGGCGAGTGCCGAGAACCCAACGGCTGGAATCTGAGCCTACTGTACTGCACGAAGGCAGAAGAACAAAGACGGGATATAGTTTCATGTCTCGCTGTTTTGTCTGCGTCAGGGCAGGAATTAGGATCAGTATTCATAAACAGCGACACATGGGAAGACACGTTGAGCAACCACCAGTGACGTCCAACTCAGTATGCGCAAGATAATTGTCAAGTACGCCGCCGTCTTAATTCACTCGTACTTCGTTGTCTTGCTCAAACTCTCTATTGATTCACACGCCGCTCCACGTCATGTGCCAAACCTAACTCAACTTTTTAAAATTTGTTCTAGTACTTTCAGATTAGCCATGTTGTAATTTAGAAATATATAGGCTTATTGGTTTTTGAATTTTATTTAGGTTTCCCTGGCGAATGCGCTCCAACCTTGTCAATAAATTGTATTTGGTACGCCGTTTGAATCACTGCCTTACTTGCGTCACCTCCAGCGTCGCATCTAATACAATAGAGACCTTACGATTTTAGGACGGCAACGCGACAGCAACGGCTACCAATACAATAGATCATTGAAAAGAATTGAATAATTACAACATATGAATAATTTACACATTGTCCTCGCTCTGTTTACAACGTCAAATCACAGATTTTCACGTCTTCATACAACGGCTGCATTCCAAGTCACAACAAGTGCAACTTCAAACTGGGTTCAGCAGAACTCTTCCCAACTATAAAACCCATGTATTCAACTTCTGAAACTGTATTAAATTCATGCGATTGATAATATACGACGAACTATCTTTACTACCATTTATTTGAAGGAGTTTGTTTTGGCCGTCGCCGTCGCGTTGCCGTCCTAAAATCGTAAGGTATCTAATCAAGTTCGGCACATGAAGAGTACGCCTCCTGAAACGGGGCCTGAATTTACGCGAGAGTTGACTAGAATATATACTGGTCAAACGGCAAGCAAAAACTCTCATCAACTCTCATTAAAATTTAATCCCCTCAAAATTGACGACGGTTGATGAGAGTGAATGTGAGTACCAGGCCAAAACGTTATTAGAACCAAAATTTATTTTCTTCCATCATTATTTCCGATTGCAGAGTTTGTCAGACTACTTCTAATGATGAACGGCTCACAGGCTCAGAAACGTGACTTTATGGAAGAGTGAAGAACAACCGCTGGACAGAACGCGAATGTCAAAGTGGATACTTGAGATACGAGAGACATACACGTGGAGACGATGAGTTTGACGAATAAATGATGACATGTGAGTGCCGGTAAGCCAGGTTTCCATACAGGGGTGTAGAAGAGGGGGGCTCAGCAACACAGAAAATATCATGATTACTAGATTACAACGATATCGAAGGAACTAGACCCAGTTCCGAAATATCATACAGCCAGTGCTGTAAGTAACTTCGTTACAAGTAACGAAATTACAAGTAATCGTTACTTTTTGAGTAACTGTAACGGTAACTAGTTACCTTTAAAAATAAGGTAACTGTAACGAGTTACATTCTGGCCTAAAATGAAACGATAACGCTTTACTTTTATAGCCAACGTTTACGTTACTTTTTTCGTTACATTCTTGCGGTTAAAATTTACAATTCACCTCTCAGTTCTCGAAATTCTGCCCACGGTTTTCTACGACAACGCATGCTTCAGCATAGGCGTACCGGGGGGGCGGCAGTCGGGCAATATTCGATCAACAGTCGGGCAATTTTGGTTTGCAATAAAAAAAATGGGACAAATTCTGTCAATTTGGTCTAAAATTAAGTAAATTTTTTTGCAAATTTTGTGATTTTTCGAAAATTTGTGTTATGTTCCGAAAAATATTGGTTGTCCGGAAAATTTTTTTGACCCCTAAAATGGTACACTGACCGAAATTTTTTTGGCGACGGGGGGGGGATCGACAAAATAATTTTTTCGGAAAAAATTTTTTTGGTACTAGTCGGGCAGAATCCCGAAAAGTCGGGCAATTTTCTTTCCGCCCCGCTAATTTTTCCTTCCGGTACGCCCATGTGCTTCAGTGCTTAACACAGCTGAGAGATCCATTAGTGGTAAGGTTACATAACTTTACAAATAATTAACGTCAATCTGTGAATCTGCTGACCACTAACATTAAGTTGAAAAAACCCCCGGGGTTTTTCTTACTTGAAGTAACTTGTAACTAGTTACAAAACTAGTTACATTTTTTTAAGGAACTAGTTACATTTTTTTAGTAATTCTACTCAAAGAATACTCTAACTGGAGTACTGCCAAATAATCGAACATAACATTTGCAATTATGATTTTAAATCCAAACACCAATGTTTTCCTCAAATATATTGCTAATTAGCTACATGTTTTTGTTTAAGAACAGCATCATGTCAACATTTTTTGCCTTCAGGGGCCTTCAGTCTGTTGCCTTCATGAAGTATTTATCGATTGTTCAGCAATACTGACCAAAAACATCGCAGGCTCAAGTGGTATCGAATTACCGATACTTTTTGCGAGTATCAAAAGTATCGATACTTTTGTAAGTATCGATGATTTCGATACTTTTGCGATAGTATCGCCCATCACTACCAACTGCCTCAAACAAAATCAAACAAGTTCAAAGCTGTTTTGATTTTTGAAGAAACTGTGGCAATAAGAATACAAGATCTAGAGCTTAAGAAATGAAGAACACATGAGCAACCGAGTGTTCACTGCAACGTTCTTCATTGTTGATATGAATATGATATTCGTTATATAATTTCTTTCCAATTTTAAGTGAAATCCGCGAGCGAGGGAAGACGCCTTATTGAAGCTTTGTGTTTATGTATGTACTATTTTGAAGAAAAATATGCAAGTAGGTTGTCATATTTCGGTCGTACTTAAAGACCAATTAATTTTGAAAATTGTTTACGATAAGAACCTTTCTTGAATTTGTCGTATTTTTTCGGCTGTTTTGCTCAAAAATTTTCTCAATTTTCTGTTTGTTTATAAGTATTCATATGAAAGTCTGGCTATTTCACGAAACACTACAACCGAAATATGGCAACCTGTTTGGCCGTTGTTTGTTCAAAATAGTGGATACACAAGCCTCATAAGGTGGTGCTTTCCTCGGTTTGCAACAGGTCTGTCACAAGTTGTTGAAAACAGCATTGCTGCAGCTCTGTGTCAACAACTTGCGACAGGCCTGTTGAAAACAGCATTGCTGCAGCTCTGTCACAACAGCTTCTAACAGACCTGTTGACAGGCCGTTGCGAACCTGTCAGAACAGACAGGTACAAGGCGAGCGAACGCATCCAGATATCGGCTTGTTGACAACAGGATTTAACAGATCTGTTGCAGATCTGTTCCGACTTGCGCGTTTCTATGTAAGTTCAAAGGTAGAGCTCATGACAGAATGTTAATGATAAAAAGTATTCACGAGTTTTTTTTAAGTCATTACGATAATACTTGCATTAGACATTTAATTCATTTATTTATTATTTATTTTTAAAGTTTTCGCCCATACATACAAAAAAAAAATATATATATATATATATATATATATATATATATATATATATATATATATATATATATATATATATATATATATATATATATATATATATGTATATATAGAATATAGAATTACAGAAATAGGGCTAGAGGTTTACTAGAAACCAAACAAAGGCTTTTGATTAAGACCCCTAGGTTAAAAGTATTTAATTATTTACATTGATTGGTCAGAACTTAAAGTAAGTTTAATAGAAAAGAAAAAAAGAGAAGATGAGATTGAAGAATTTTTATGATGTTTCAAATAATGACAAACATACATATAATAAAATCTATGTTTCCGAATGCAACAGCAAGAAGTGGTTTTTTGAATTTTTTTGAATGTGCAATAGGATTTTAATTTTTTTAAGTCAGTATTTAACTCATTCCAGATATTTACACCCTTATTTTGAAGTGAATGTTTGACAAAATTAGTTCTGGAGTATGATTTATGAAGTTTGGATGCGTTTCTTGTATTGTGTTCATGTATTTTGTTGTTAGTAACATAGTAATTGGTAAAGTATTTTGGTAAATTATCCAAGTAGTGATATCGAAACATGAATAAACTGATCAGAAAATCATTAATTTTTTCAATGTTAAGGATCTTTGCTTCATTGAATAGTGGTTCAGAATGCTCAGAATATGACTTGAACATCATTAATCGTATTATTTTTTTTTGAATGTTTATTAATTTTTGTAGTCGTTTTTTATATGTGTTTCCCCAAATCAAATTTCCGTATATTAAATAAGGATAAACTAAAGCATAATAGACTAGTTTAAGAGTATTAAAATTTGTGAAATGCCGAATTTTGGATATTATTCCTGTAGATTTTATAACTTTTTTCGTAATTAAATCAATATGATCATTCCATGTTAAGTGTTCATCAATAACAACACCAAGGAAAGTTGTATTTTTGACTTGTTTTATTGGTTGTCCATTTATCGATGTTATTGTATTATGTTTAATCCTTTTGTTTGATGATTTAAACAAAATAAATTTTGTTTTAGTTGTGTTTAGTGATAGTTTATTGCTGCTAATCCAATCTGCTATTTTATTTATTTCGTCTTGCATGATTAAATTTAACTCTTTTAAGCAAGAATGGCTATGGAAAATATTTGTGTCATCTGCAAACAATATTTTGGAAACTAGTTTGCTGCAATTTTGGATATCATTTATGTACAATAAAAATAATAGTGGCCCCAAAATTGAGCCCTGAGGAACACCACTAGTTATTGTCATTGCTTCAGACTTAGTGTCATTATACTTAACAATTTGTTTTCTATTGGCTAGATAGTTCTCAAACCATTTAAGAGCAACACCTCTAATTCCATAGTATTCTAATTTCTTAATCAGGATGCCATGATTAATAGTATCAAATGCTTTTGACAAGTCAAGGAAAATACCAATTGTATATTGTC